GCGTTAAAAAAAAATCTCTCGATCTTGTGCCTCCCTCATCCCAACGTTCCCTTGGCTGATAAGAGAAAAATTGCCCTTGCGCGTTAAAAAAAAATCCTTCGATCTTGTGCCTCCCTGGTCCCAACGTTCCCTTGGCTGATAAGGGAAAAATTGGCCTTGCGCGTTAAAAAAAAAAATCCCTCGATCTTGTGGCTCCTTGATCCTAACGTTCCCTTGGCTGGCAAGAAAGGAAATGTCCCCTAACTTTTCAGTCGAGAATATCGTCCGCGGGCTCTCATTTCCTGGACGTGCAGGACACGTCCAGCTCTAAGCGTGACACGTTTCTTTAACCGGGTAGGTCGACGGCGTTGACAGTGACCAGTGTCCAGCGTCCAGGACGCATTAAGGACGCATCTGGACACAAAGCGGCGCGTATTTGCGCCCGCCCATTTATAACTCGTCCGGCTGGCCGGCGACTACTTAGCGGATATTTTAGAGGGCCGCGTTAAGGCGGGTTCAAAAGTTCGCGTGAAAAACAGCCTCAGGAAATTGCCAGGAAATGGCCTCCAACGACGCCCTACCCTGGACGCGACCTCGCCCCTCCCTTCGCGCCCTGCGCCCCAAAGAGGAACCTAAAGGTGATTCTTTGGAATCGTGCTAATTAATCCTAAGGTGTAAAAATATACATCCTGAATCCCACCTCGCAAAAGGCGGAGGAAATTCCCGATATCTCATATCGATGCACTTCGAACGAAGATCCTCTCGTAATCGATCGATCACCTCGTTATCACTCGACGGTCGGGAGAGAGATCGATCTTGCCCTCTCCGCATCTCGTGGAGTTTCTAGACGCCTAATAAGCCCGATAGAGGATGACTCCTGCCCAGGTGAAGATTTCGAATCCGGGTCGGGATTATCTCGAGCACAATGAACGGTCCCCAGCGGTGATAATTATTTATCGGTCGGTCGACGTTATAAATAGTCCGATAAACCAGGCGATGACGATCGGGAACTACGTTAACGACTCGAGGCTGCCTGGACACACCCATCGATGAGTACTCACTTCGAGTACCCCCAAGATTACACGGTTTACGAGTTTCCGGTAATTACGCCCGTGTATTCGGCAAAAAGTCGCGGCCCCAAGGATCGCTCTTAATCCCGACTTTACGCGTTCGAAGAAATTGACAAGGGAATCCATTTCCATGGAGAGGAAAATTGCATCGAACGACACGAGGCGTACAAGACCATTATCTATAAAAACACGGCCATAAGTGATTTCTCTTTACACAGGAGTGGAATACACGTCGGACGGTGAATAGTGACTTTTAATCCCAGCGCGCGCAGGGAAAATCATATTAAATTATTAAATTACATAGAGTGACAATTGATATCGTTTAAATGTCGTAAAAGGTAAAGAAATACTTATGGCCAGGTTTTCATGTAGGTGCGAGGATATCTCCCGCAAAGAGTAGCGTTTTAGTAGCGACATCGCGTAGACCGCGCCCCCGTTTCTCGGCGTAGACTTTTCCGGGATGAAACTCGATCCCGACCGGGGTGACAATCAACGAAGACGACCTCCCTGCAACTTTCTACGACTTGTATCCACCCAACGTCACGGGTTTTACGTAAGACAGTAAAGCCGAGATTACGCGTCCGAGGTAACGCCGCGAGCCGAGCGGCCGTCCCGCAACGTATTCCCCGTTTCGCCCTGTCGTTTTGTCGTAAGGCCGACTCCTTTTATCGTTACTAAACGTTACTGCCGGCGAAGCTTCCGATTCCCCGGACAGAGAGAGAGGGGCCCATCTCTTATTCCGCGTGGCGGAATGCCGCAGGAGGAACTCCGGTGCGAACGGTACGTCGACCATAAACGAGCCCTGCTTTACGTTTTCCATCAAAACCCGCGAAAAGGTTACCGTGAGATCCTTCGAGCCGCGTTAGGATTTCTAGAAGAGGGAGAAGGCTTATCGAATGAAGGAAGCGAATTCAAGCTCCGGAGAAATTGAACCTCGAAGCCGAGTAATCGCGAGCAAAGAGGAGAGTCCAATCGAGGAAGCGAGCGGAGGGCGGTCGTTTAAAGAGCACCGCGGCAGGGCGTGAAATTTCCTCGGTTTTTCGCGTTTCCCCCCCGCGGTAGGAATTCCCTCTTTTCCCTTTCCCGAGATCCCTGGGTCCCCTCGCGCCCTCTCCCGCAGGATGCCTCCTCTTGCGAGTTTCTCCGGGCTCCTCGGGGGCGCCTCCACCCCGTCATCCCCGTAGAATGTAAAACCTCCGCCTCGTAATTCCAACTTTCCAGGAGTCGCGGCTAAATGCAAGGAGCGTCCCGTAAGAAATAAAACCGCGAGTAAACTTTTGTTTCCAGCGGTGGCCCTCGAAGCCCCCAAAGCATCCCGGGAGCACCCCAAAGCAACGCGCCCCTGCGACACTCGTGCCTCTCAGCCGCTTTTCCTCGGCGGATGCGCGTCGTTAAAGGCGCCTCTCCCTCTCTTCCCGGTCGTCCTGGGAGCATCGCCACTAAAAAGCCCCGCACTTTATTCCTTTGAAATAAAGTTCGGGGGTGCTGCGACGGGATTCTTAAATGTCCTCGCGCGGAGGAACTCGCGCGTCGGTCTCGAGTGCGAGTCTCGCGCCTCCACCTTTGGGGAAGCGACGACCCATTCACCCGATCGAGAGACACCTCGAGACCCTTGCTTCTACCCCGAATGAAACCCGCAGAAAAAAAGGACAACATAAAAAAAAAATAACACCTCAATCAAGTATCGACAGTCAAATTACGTATTATCGCCCCATTCTAACCTCCAAACGTATGTTTCGATGAGATTCCTCCCTTCTGGGGTCAGCTTCGCCGGGACTCTTACGTATCTTTTTTCCTTCCCCTCGCTTTAACCAACGTGTATTTTTTAATTCAAATGCAAATATCGCCGGCGCTCCGAAAAACCGTTTGCTCGCAAGTTCCGAACACGCTCGTCCGCTTTTTTTCCTTTGGCCGAGGCAAACCGGGCACCCCCGCGAGCGTAGCGAGTCGGTGTTTGACTTGTAAGTTCCTGCCGGAGGTTTTCCTCTCTTTTACGATTCGGAATTCGCGCGACATACTTTGTGGCGAGGTCTTTACGAGGGTCTGCGCCTCTCTTTACGATCTCCCGCTCCTTCGACGGGAATCCGATTCAACTTGAGAGGCCATCCGACAAGCCGCCATCAAGCGTGCCAATCTTCGGGGCGCGAGTTACGTCCTCCAACTCTCGGCATCTTTTATTTCAGCCCTGGAAAGAAACAACTGTGCCCCCCCCTCGTCGCGTTCCCGCGAAGTTACCCCCCCCAGCATCGATAACCGATCGTCCGATCGATATCGACCGATCGACGTATTATTCCATGCCCAGAAAGTACACATTGGATGATTCCTCGAGGCCGAGAATTTTCCAAAGACCACTCCGAGACTCGACCACGATGGGTATTGCTATTTTCCCTAGGGCCTCCACCCCCGTGGAACATTTCGAAGACTTCCCTAGACCTCGAAGGTTGGCAACTCGACAACCAAGTGTCGTCCCGAGGCCGCAATTGCGATTCGATTTGGCGGTAAAACAACGTCTAGTCGGGCAGGCATATCAGGTATTAGCTAATTCGCGACTGGGAATCTCGTCGAGTCTCCTAGGGTCCCTAGACCGGACCACGGTGGCAGTTGGCAGCATTAAGCGGTCAACTCCACGAGCTGTCCCTAGGATCCCTTCCCGCGTCGGTAAATCACGATGCCACGGATCCAATTATCAAATTGTCCGGCCTCGGTCCTGCCTAGTCGAACGAAGAACGCGCCAGGGTGGCCAACTGTACCGAATGCGACCTGCAATAGATTCTAGGGGGCAAAACCGCGCAAGACAGGCCGACACTGGTCCAAAGATTTATCACTTAGCGCGAGACGCGAAACTCCCTAGGCGAAGGGTGGACCGGATAACAAACTTTAGATAAGGAAAACCCCGGAAAGAGAATCCTGGAAACTGGATCGCGGACTTAAATTCCCCTTAAGGAGGTATCGATCGCTATATCGATCCGTTGCGAAATCAATCCGAGTTCGAGGCACCAGCTGTCTCAATTTGTAAAAAAATTAACCGAGTGTCTTCGGTATGATCCGAACCATAAACGATCGATTAAACAGCATCCACGTGGAGTCAAAGTCTCGGTACGGCTGCACTCGGCGTAGTTATTAATCATCGATGTGCAGATTGTCAGGATGCCAATCGGCAGCTGTACAACTTCCTCGGAGTGAAGGATTCTCCCTCGTCTCGAGGCGTCTACCTTAACGCGGCTTGGCACCGGAAACATTAGCGGACCGCGGACTAGCGTGTTCCGGAAGTGGTCGGTTAGCTCGGAAGTGCGTGCGGAAGTAACCGGAGCCCTAAGAAAACGGAGCTAGACACGCGAATCGTGGAGCAAGGCAGTCGGGTCAACGCTAATTCACTCGTCACCCTTCGCGATATGATCCCTGAAAGCAGGTTGCACCCTCACGCGATAGTTTCCTCCCTTGAACGGCCTCGACGACGTTTCGCCAAATCCTCCTCCATTCCTCCAAAGTACCGCGGCGAAAGAGGTAGAAAAAAAAAAGGAATAGTACGCAATTGCATCGAATGTCGCGATTCGTTCAAAAATCGCTCTAATGCCACTTTACGTGGGCGCCTCTCGGATAGCCACTCGTATTTTTTTTTTTTTTTTCACAACGATCGAGCGCGATAGCCTTTATTTATTCGCTGCAGGTGGTAGCAAAATAGCCACGTGGAAAAGTCGGTGACGCAGCCAAGTTTTCTCCCCGACGGTCGAATCAACACGTCCGATTACGGCCACCGAGTGTTTTCTCGTTTCGACTGTTGGTCGAGTGTTTGTTTGTTGTAGGTATTTGTCATCGGTTCTTTAGACGAAGACTCGTGCCCGGCGATCGAATGTTTGCCGAGTCGACTTTACAAGTAGATGATCGAAACGAAGAGAGTACGTGTACACCCATAGACGAACGTCTCTGTATCCAATCAAACACCGACGATTCCTTTCGTGTGCGCGTTGTTGTCCACGTCCAATCAGGAGTAACTCGAGTGTGGACTGGGCGGTCTTATAAGTGGGTCAAGATCCAGCTCCTCGAGTCAGTCCAAGCCGAGACGTCGAGAAGTCAACATTGAAGAAGTCGACCGTAAGTCCGACGTTCTCGCTGACCTTTCGAATCGACGCCATCCATATATTTCCATATCGCCTCCATATTCCAAGACGCTTCGTATATTAATTTCTTTCCTTTTCGCAGTTTCCGCCTCAGCCCTCGATCCATCCTCTTAACACTCTTCATTGTTCTGAAAGTAGAAGAAATATTCCCTGATGGCTAACGGCTTAGCTATTTTCCTTGGTACATTCAAGTCATGCGTGAAGACCAAGGGCACGGTCCAGCAATGAATCACTCTCTATAATTGGTCTCTCAAAGGCGCTTAAAGGTGTATGAAGTCATTCTACATACACATCTAAGTGTCGAGATATTTATGAAACTTTTCTCCAAATCGGGTGCGCCGAAAAATCTCAAACTTCGATACGTGATGGTCCTGATAAACGTCTTGAACCTGAGGAGATTTCATTTTCGAGGAAAGAAAATGTAATTATCCCGGACAAGAGAATTTCTCACATTATTCGCTGCATCCGGAAATGTTTCATAAATATTTCTATGTTTTCATACGTACAGCTGGACTCTTTCGTAACTCCTTAAGTGCCGATAACAGTGTTCGTCGGTGTGAATGTCATGTTTGTCCGAGTCGTTTAAATCAAAGAGTACTTGAATATCGCTTCTAAATGTGTCTATGGACCCTGGGAAGTGTAAGGAGCACTCGAATCGGTCCTCGGTTACTTATCGACAGTAGGTGACTCGCACGGCACGAGTTGACATCAATTTCTGGAAGTCAAGCCCGAGTTTGATCTTAGAGAGGGACCGGGAGCACAAAAGAGGGGAAACGACGGTTCGAGTGGATCAGTGGCGAGCAAAGTGGAGCGCCGTGAAATTCATTCCATACTCTCCTCTTTGACCCTTTATTGACCGGGAATCGGGTAATAAAAAAATCCGCCGCTAGGAGACATGCCGCATAAAAATTACATAATGGATTTTATTGCCCTCCGGTCGTATCGATTTGACGCTACGCATTGCGAGGCTGAAAACAACGAGCACAAGTGCCGGCAAATACTCAAATAATTCGAATTCGTCTGAGAGATCGCTCTCCTTGCGGGGAAATAAATTGCGAATATGTAAAACGTGGGGGAAAAAAAAAATTGAATGGGTAGTTGATTTTTAAAAAAGTGATAGGATAATGCAACAAATTAAGTGGACTTTCTGTTTTAGGTTACCCGAAACACCGTTCAACATGAAGTTGGTCCTGGTCCTGTGCGTCGTGGTGTTCGCCACCATGGTGGTCGGCACTCCTGCCCAGAAGGACGACGCCACCTGCGGTCGCCATGGTGACCCTGTTAGTAATATTCAGAATTTCAGACATTCGCTACCTCGACACGTCGCGTATAAATGCATCTCTTTTAACCCGCACATCAAATGACTAATACTTCTAACTCGAGGCGCTAATCGTTGAATCCTAATCGCAAAATAGAACGCCATTCCACGTCGAGCCTATCTACCGAATTAATTAAACTCGAGGTCGAGGTTTCTTTATCAAAACCGGCGCGGTGCTACCTTTCAGCTCGCGGCTGTATCGAGACGTAAAATTTAGCGGTCTGAGCAGAAAAAGTGAACACATCTCCCATTTGGAGGACGCACTTTAAACTCCCAGTATCGAGGGAGATGTTTCCTCTTGTGCAATCACTTTGGACAGCCGCGATGTACTTGTTGACGTTGCCAAGAGACGCGTTACACGCAGTCGTAATAATAGGACGGGGTGATAAGCGATTTGCCGCTTTGTTTCTTTAGTTTTGCGGGCTGGAAGCGAAGCGCGTCGAAAGCGTTCCACGGATCCTCCTCTGTCGGCAGCTCGAGGAGGGGAGACCGTGGAGCCATTTGTAATCGCTTGCTAATCGTAATTCTGCAAATGTGCCCCAGCGAAGAGTTTACCCAGTCGATGGTTCCGAATGGAAACGAACTCGATAGCTCCTCGACGCCATCTCCTCTGATGAGGGCAAAATCCCTAAAACGTGTCGAAATTCCCTGGGAAAAGTCTTCGCTGGGGAGGGATCTCTATCTTTTCTAACATGGATCTATAGGGAAGACGAACTTAATCCTTCTGAATCCAGTGCAACACTAGCGAGGAGTGCTGCTCGTACTTGTGGTGTCACTTCTACGCACACCGTTGCGTGAGCAAGCCAGGCGGACCGAACCGACCACCGATGGTTCCCCAGGCCGAGGCGATCCAAGAAGAGGGCCAAAAGATTAACTAGACTCTGGATGCATCCTCCCCCTATTTTTCCCCCCGACATGCCGGCGTATATCTCCCTCGCACGCCATAATGTAACCCCGAATAACATACGCTCTATCCGCATAATCGTGATCCGCTTACGAAGCATGTTCCGCCGCGTGTCGCGCTCGTCCCACGGCGGGCTCGAATTTCGACCGAATCGCCGCCATTCTCGCCCTATCATTCGCAAACTCGCAATTTCGCTGACGAGCCCGACAAAAACCCCCCGAAGAAGACCTCGCCGCGCTTTGGAGGCGATTTTTTTCATCGGGGAACTTACCGACATGGGCCACTTAGGCCTCTAACTCGCGGAGGCACGACGTCGAGATTGCGAAATCTCAGGTCGAGAAGTTATGGACAATGCGGATCTTTGGGTAGTTGTGTGGGTTAATAACGTACTTACTAATTGGAATATCGAGGGGACATCGATTTGCGAGGGGTCATCGGGTTTCACTCCTTAACCGATTAACCATGGTGCTCGTTATCACCGATACGCCGGCGTGATTTCTTTTGTATTAACAAACTCTGACTTTCGCATGTATCAATAAAGCATGAGATTACCGATGTCTATTAACACCTTCCTTTTGTCGGGCTTAATCCTTCTTATCGTTATATGTGATGTATCCTGTAAACCTAGACCTATCCCAATATAAGAATTCGGGCAGAATGACTCTTTTTTGTCTTTTGTTGAACTTGTGCGAAAATGATTCCTGAACGAGATCGAATCTATGCTTTTTTATAATCGTGTTTTCTCAGCAAACACGAGGAGATGGGTTTAACAATCGCGCCGTTATCGCGTTATTAGATAAAGCCTTGTTGACGCCCCCCCGCGAACAAAGAGGGAGAAAAAAGAAGTCATCGATAGTCGTAGGAGGATTCCTAATCTCCCCGAGCGACGATAACGTCGAACCACTCGATGATTCATATCTCGGCAGGAATTCCCGAATTTCCGAAATCTTGGCAATGATTATCTTAATCCGCCGAAGATACAGTTATCGACTTGGCCTCGAATCTATTTGTCGCGATATGTTTTCTACGTTTCTTATCTTCAGGAATCGTTAAACCATTGGTGACAGCTAATGATACTTGCGAGTGAATTTATGTACTTTCGATTATTAGCGATCATACCGTTGTTTTCTGTTTCAGTGCGTGTCGGACAGGGAGTGCTGCGGTAACATCAAGTGTCACAGATACGCAAACAGATGTCAAGTGGTAATAACGCAAGAAGAACTACTCGCTCAGCGTGAAAAAATTCTGGGCCGCAAGGGCAAGGCCTATTAATCCTAAAGCATTGTTAATGAAGTATATCTTGAATCGAGAAACGAAGAAAATTCAAGTAATCAGATACAAGTCGCCCTTTAACGTTAGCTTGTCATTACGCGCATCCGAAAATGTCACCCCTTGTGCAAGTCTCATCCTTTCGATGTACCCTGATTCAATTAACACAGTCTTATCACCTTGCAGAATTTCTAAAATTTAACAACATTAATAAAAATTAAGGGATTAAGGTGAACGAAGGTACTTCGAGATCCAATTGTATTCCTCAGGTATCGATGTCGAAATTACGCGATTGTAATTTTCTGTCAGAAAAAAAAAATTGACGGCAGGGATTTTTATTTTTCCCGGATATATTTACCGTCCTTGTGTACAAAGCTTGGGGAAGAGTCTTTCGGGTTATCAGTGCTTATCGGAGGTACCCGAAGGGCGAGTCGCCTGGCGGATCGATCATTAAAAAATGGCGGCCGAGCGTGGGTGCACGCGTGACACGCTCGCGATCCTCACTCGCGATAAGGGCCTGCTACTTTGGAACACTCGCGTGTGCGAGGAAAGTGGCTTCATTACAGTCTTATCGTTGATAAAGCCGCGTTACATCTTCGGCCATATGTCGCGATCGAAGCTTCCTCCGCCTGTTCGTTCGATCGAGCGGTCAACGATCGAGATATCGTCCCACGAAGCGAGTTCACGCCAAGACAATCCACCCTCGCTCCATTTCCATACGATTATCCAAATCTTCAACGAAAAGTGCCTAATATTTTATTCGGATGCGTAGCATCGATCTCGCGTGTCAAATCATAAGATAAAAAAAAGATAACACAGTAAGAAGTCGCGATCACACGTTCCATTTCATTACCTCCTATCGATGAAATAATTTTATTCGTTGCAATTGAACCCGCTTTAATTTCTAACGAGATCATTTCTTTGAACGAAAAGTAAACATTACTTAGGGATCACTCCGTGTTTCCTCCTATCCAAATTGTGCGCTATTCGAAGGAATCGATTCCTTTGTTTTTTTTCTCCTCCTCGGGGTACTAAAATACATCCACGGCGTATAAATGACTCTTCCCTCCAATTAAGCGTAAAGACGTGGACGGGAGTAAACGAAAGCCAAGTATCGCGGTCAAAGGCGAGACGGAGGCGAGCGGCGTTGACCAAGAGTCCTGCCGGAGAAAAGTCGTAAAGTAGGTGCAATTCGAGGAGAAGAGGCGGAAGCTCTTTCTCTCTCTCTCTCTCGGCTCGTTACGGAGGCTTAAGGCCGGTACTCTTGTCGTTTTTACGTCTCATTAGCGGAGACTTAAAGTTAAGCGTCCCGGCTCTTTTCCCCAGTCTTTGTCCGATCGTCCGGCGAGTGGACTCGGGGGTTCCCGTCCTGGCGACTCGACATCCAGGTACGAATCTACCTGGACGAGCCGCGTGCGAGATACGATGAATATTAACGAGGTCCTATCACGAACCCCGACACGTACGGCAGAGTGGCGCGTATCCGGTCTTCCGAGCAAAGGCGTCACGTGTAAATGTTTGTCAACGCGAGCTTTATCTTGGCGCAGCTTAGCGGCCACATGGCGGATTCCCACAGCGCCTCCCACGTTTTAGACACTCCTGTGTCAATTTGTCTTGGCGTCGGGATCGCTCTTTGCCGATCCGGCGATCGATCGAGCCAAGATCGGGCCACCTGCGAGGTGGAGGGAAAAAGCAGCGCGCTCGAATCGGAGGAGTACTTAGGAGGAGGAGAAGCGGGGAAAGGGGGGCCACCGGGAAAACCGACGGTCCCGGAGGCGGCCTCTTTTGTGCGGCACGCCAGGCGGAAGGTCGACGTGTCGCGGAAGAGTCGATCGAGGCGTTAAGGCCGAAAGAAGCGGAAGCGGCAAAGCGCTAAACCCGAGGAAAGAGAACTCTCGTGTCGAGTGACTCTCCGGTCTCCGGGTGGTCTCCCGGCGGGGGTGGTCCTCCGGGGGATGAGTCGTCGCGGGCGCCGACTGCAAGGAGCCTCCAGTTGACGTAGGCAGGGCTCGCGGGATGGCAAGATACAATGCGAGGTAAACGGGCGGGCACAATATGAAAACATTGTCGGCCTTAAGCCGCGGCGTACACAGCAATGTGCCGAGCTTTGCTGGCGGTGATGCCTGCCGGTGCTTCGTCAGGACGTCAGGACCGGCGTGTTGTTTGCTCGCACTTGGCGGCCTAGCTCGAAAGCTCCTATGAAAAAAGGAGCGCGGGCAAAGCCCAACTCGAACGGCGGGGCCACCCGAAAATAGAGCCGGGAATTCGCCACCAGGTCTGGAAAGGTTCGGGACTCCTGGGGCCGAGGATGATCCCGGGGGAACGACGAGACTAGTCGAGAAGATCGCACCTTGAGGATGATATGAACTCCTTACGCGCGAGATCGAGTCGAAATTTGGGGGCTAGATCGATCGATCGATCGATGGCCGATTCGAGACCCTGGACGAATGGAGGGTGCAGGTCTGACTGTGCAAGCCTCGAACTACTTGGAGAAGAGCGAAATGGGACGGCCCGTTCGGGGTAGACCACCCCTAGCTCGCTCACGCGACCGATCTTATCTCTCAGCCCCTGCCCCGCCACGGGAATGTACGTACGAGCGGGTGGATTCCACCCTCTCGGACCTCCAGAGGGTGGAATTGATTTCTTGCATTCGTTATTTCCCTGAGACCGAGCCGATAGCGCGACGCCTTCGGCGTCACCCCTCGGGGGGTGGCGAGGAAATGGGCGCCCCGGCGCCGATATCCGGCAGGACATTATTTATTCATTTCTTAAGTCGTTAATGTTTCCCACTCTTGGGGCCCTTCGGGATCTCGGGATCTAACCGCTCCCGCTGGTATTCATACGCGGGTTAACGGTCGGTTAAGTTCGGGGGCAGTTTTGGACTCGCAAGTTTCCCGCAATCCCACCTCGATAACCGGGGTTGGCAAAGGCCGGGGAGAAGTGGAGGAGGTCTTATCTCGATTTGCATTAATTCATGCCCATACAGTCCAGGCTTAAGCCTACCTAAGAACGAGTCGAGAAGCCCTCGACCTAAGTGACCGGACCCAGAAAGTTTCCTCGGGTGGCGGATTAGCCGACTCTGGATTTCCTTGTCGCTCTCCCGGGATCCAGGGTTGACTTTGATCGCGATTGGAGTCGCTCGAAATCGCTAACGAAACCCCTGAACTTCTGTTTTGCACCGTCACATACGGTAAACCTTGTCGTGCCATCCAGGGGCCGTCATCGATTACCCTTTACGGTCGTTTGCTCAAACACATTTCAATCTGTAATTCTTATCACGGTGAAAAATCCCTAATCAGCCATTTTTATTCGGCTCTCGGATAGTTATCGAGGGGAACGCGTGTCCTGAAGGATCCTTGCGGGTGCCAAATCTGGAGTAACAAAATGAAAGAGGGAATAATTCAGGGAATCTCTTTGCCACCTAGAGTCCGGTTACTATCCGAGCATCTTTAAAGACGGCAGCGCGTTCTCATTGTCCGGCTTTGGCGCGATTATCCGCCGCGCGGAATGGCCGCGCGAAATGGAAGGCAAGTCCGTATAACGCGCGTTCCCCGCGCTTTATGGGATTAATAAAATATTCACTCGGCGGACAGACGGCAAAGTAAGGCATATAATAATTTTCTGGCACGCCACCTTGTGTGACGCCGCGCGAGCCGTACGTGACGGCAATCGGGTAATCGGATCAGAAAATGGCGCAAACCTCCGATAAATAGGATTAATAATGGATACCACCCAGTCGTCTGTCGTTTCAAGGCGACTATTTCCTCCGGTCTCGCCAAGAAATTCACGCGACGCGTCCACGTCCACCCCTCCGATAAAGGTACACGCACGTGCACCGATAAAAGGATTTCATCGCGCCAAAGAAATATATTCTTTATTCGAGAAACAATGATCTCTCTCGAATGAATCGTCGTAACTCCCATAGAATTTCATTTCTTTTCTTTTTTCAAGAATTTATTTACAGATTATTCCGCAATTCTTCATTTTTTTTTTTTTTTTTATGGAATTTCACGAGGGCCAGGACCTTCCTTATCGTTTCGATGTTCACGCTGTAAGGTTCGAATCTATTCGGTAAACCCAGATCGGGGAAAAGTTTCGTGAACGATTGACCTCTCGGAAGCCACTTTAACATCCCCTTAACGACGGATTCGTCGAGCGGGGTTATCGCGACGTTATCAGGACGGGTCCCCGCGGCTTCGATTAGACGCTCCTTTTTCCCATAAGGGGTGACTTCCGCGTCCCCTCGCAGGTTCGGCAACCCCTTCGCTCGTCCGCCGAATTTCGGGGCCCTCCCACCCCCGGAGCCCCCCTGGGCAGAATGCAGTTTCCCTCTCGCGAACTCGAACTGCAGCTAGACGGATGCAAAAGGGGGAGTGAGATGGTGCAGTCGGTTGCCATGGCGACCCACCGACACACTGGACACCCCCCGGCCCCACCCTTGCCTCGGCGCTTTCAACCCGTTCCATCCCGCCCCCGCCCCCACCCCGACGGTGATCCAGCGACCGGACAACACTGTCCCGTGCCCAGCAGAGCCAAAAACACTGGTCTCTTATTACGCGGCTAAGCCTGTGAATTGTCTCTTCCAACCCCCCCCGCAACCCCCGCAACCTCGTCCTCGTACCCCACGCTAATCTATTCCTCACCCCCCTTTCGGGTCACCGCGACCCCCCGTGAGTTGGCCAAGACATTTCCCTTTGATAATCCACGGAAATTATCGACAATGCACTCGTGCACTTGCACACGCGTGTACGTGTACGCTACTTATACCGGAACTGGAAAAAATCCCACTCACGATGCGGAAACGGACTTTCAAGGGGAAAATTCAGCATTCCCATGACGGGGTAGATTTTCGGACGATCAGGATCTGGGATTAGAATTTTTTTTTTCATGTTCCCAGGGGGTGGGAGATGCCGATTTATCAATGTGGATTTTATCGGCATCGGTCATGAACGGGATAGGAATATATTTCGGCGACGAAGGGCGCTGGGGGTTGAGATGTCACCAGGGCCACTCGTCGAGAGAAAGGTTTCTCTTGTATACGCGGCTTCATGCCGTGATTCGATCGATCAGAAGGGAAAACGAGGTCAATGAAGGCCAGAAAACCGATTTTCCGAGACGTTTCACCCCCCCGCCTGGTGTTTCTTAAGGGGAGAGGGTAGTTTCCCCGAACGCAACCTTTCGTCGTAAACTATAAGCGTTATTACACGCTAAAGCTCGTATATCGAGGTACAAGGTGGCGATAACACGTTTCACCGCTCTTTTTTTATCGATTCATCGATTAAATCGTTTAAGTCATCCTACGGTTTAGATTATGCGTCAGTTAACCGAGCCGGTGCGATTGCTGCCCTGAGAAAAAAAAAGTTTAAAGTTTTGTTTGCGAGAAACAATTGTTCCAGTTCCAAGAATAATAATTAAAATCAAGTGAACTCTCATGATTCCGAATTAAGGTCGCATCCAATTTATTCGAGTTCAATCGAGGGAGATAATTATTCCTCGAATTAAGGAAATATTTCTTCGGTTCAGTGGTTTTTCTTTTTCTCGGGGTGTACGCGTAGTACTCCTCCCTCACTTCTGAGATAATCTATCTCGGCTCGTTAACCGTCGGCGGCAGGTGAAATATGAATTTTCTCGGGAATCTAGTTTGGTCGGCGTTCGCAGGTTAATTACCGCGACAACGCGCGCACTCTTGCGGAGTTAATCGGGCGACGGTGCGGTTGTCACTTAGCAAATGAAGCGTGCAACTCTCGTGACAAACCACCTCCTTTCGGAACCACCTCCAGGAGGGGTTGAAGTCTTAATGTGTGCTCAACGACCGTACGGACGACGGCCGCACCCCTCTACGGTCACGCGAGAAGCTCGACTTTGCGAGCGAAGCACGAGGCTCCGACTAGAGACACCCTCCGAGAGCCGGCGGGGTGTGTTAAACCCACGGGGGTGGGTAGCTAGGGCTGCTTTCTTGGAAGAATTAACGCACCGACGGTTTTAGAAACGATTCCACCCGGTTAGAGATCGGTGTAACGGCCGCAGGTCGGGAAAGTGTCGCGCTGAAAAATTGAGCCAACCCCTTTGACGACCACTTTCCGCCCTGAGAGCTTTCCGAAATCATTCCTCGTATCCGATTCCGATACGATCCGCAAGAAACTCCATACTTGGACGCCGATACCCTGAGAATCAAATGCAAGATTTCAATATACTCCGCGGGATCGAAAAATCAGATAATTAAAATTGCCCGTTTCTTTATTGGACATACGAGGAGGCCTCGCTCGTAGCCGGAAAAACGCGGAAAATTAGTCGAATCTCGATGGCCTGATTAAAGTTGACTCACTCAAGAGGTTCTGAAAAGGACATTGTCCAGTTTGATGCGCCAGGCTAAAGATTGCGGATAATCGGGGAGGCCCCATCGAGCAAGGGATTTTTTTAGCCGGGATCTCCGGAATCGATAGGTCGCGTCTCGAAAAAGGCCCGCGCGGGGCGAGGGGGAAAAAAAAAACAAAAGCGAATCAATCGGCGGCGACTATGAATCAACCGCGGCGGCGGCCACAGGGACGATTGGGCGGTTCCATCGCGATTCTTTCGATCGGGCCGATCCACCCCCGGGCAATCGGACGAGCGATAACGCCATTATCAGAGGGTGTCCGCTGCGGGGAGGAGGAGGGGCCGATGACCGAGGCCCGTCGCACCGGTGGCACCCTGACCCCGTTGCCCACCACTTACCCCCAGCTCGGGCATTCTCGCGTGGACCACCCTATCTCGATCGACCACCCCAGTTGGGGGAGGGGTGCCGATACGGGCGTATCGGTCACCGTCAATACCGATCAAATGCCGAAGATTCTGCGGCACGCGCCGCACCCGACCACCCCCGACTCACCCCTGCGCCGTCCGCGAAATCAGTCGCCTGTTGCGCCTCCCGTTCGATCCCTCCACCTGCGACCCACCCACCCTTAGATTCCCCCTTCTCGAGCCGCGAGTTCGATCATCGATTCCGAGTTTTTGCGACAGGTGGAACGGTCCCAACGTCGCGCCGCGGCTACCTTGAGGATCGAAGTTCCGACAGGGGTTCATCGCCGACGAGTGTCGAAGCGCGCCGATCGGGGTCAGTGTAACGTCCGGTCATGTCGAGGGGTCGCGGGCAAACGGGCGAGCGATGGCATTGGCCAATGCCCCGATAATAGCATTATGACTCCTCTGACTGTGGAAATAAACACGGGATCGCGGGTGGCGCACCCCGGCCCGTTAAGCCGGATAAATGCGCGGGGATAATTATCTGGATCGATCGGTCGATCGGGCGATCGAGGATCTCCCTATATCGAGTTTTCATTTTTTTCTTTCTTTCTTTCCGCCCCGCCGGGCGGATCGGCCGCGAGGCCTCGGACGGCGGATAAGTCGCGCGAGTCTTTATCGGCCCACTCGCCAGGGGCGTCGCGACGCCGCGGACAAGCGACGCGGCCCGGCCGCCGGGCGGATGTGCAACAGGCGATAAAATTGGAAAATCCATCGCGCATGAATTATTCATAATTGGGCCGCGATTCGCATTGATACCGGGGTTATTTTTAAACGGCGCGACGAGGCGGAATTCGCCCTGGTCCGGCGGATAATTAGCGCGACCGTGAATTTCACGCCACCTGATGCGAAATTATTCCTGGTTATTCCGAATCGTTTCGCGCGATTAAGGCACCTCGGTTTAAACGGGCAACCGACTGGGCGGGACGTTTTTCGGGGCTGGGGGGTCGTCGGGGAGGGGACGGTCATTTAAGACAAGGGGGGCGAACCGATTTACGGGGACCCCTTTCAGTGATATCCATAAATCGAGCCAGGGGGGAGGAAACGTATAAACGTTTAGGTGGAGTCGCATCATCGAGGAACTTCGGGACGAAATCTTCTGAGAGTGAAATGTCGAAAATGAGGGAGTTCACGCGCATCGGAGGCAGGACGCGTGTACACGGGGCTTGATTTATTGTGACGGCGTTCCATTGTCGCCGGTAATTTTATCTCCATCAACCGTTTTTCCAGGAAATCGAAACCGAATGGGGATATTAATATCTCATTGTGCGCTCGCGTGTCGCCGACACTTTTCCCGGTGTATGGTCCGGGGCTTTTCCATCGATTTATTTTCTCCGGCTTTTTTTTCCCTCCCCCCTCGAGCACCCCCACCGAGCCGCCCCGCAAGGATTAAAGTGCCACCGCGCGCGGAAAACGCATCCGCGTGCGGCCCGCGGCTCGTTCCGCGGTGGCGTTTCGTTATTTTTCCCACCCGCGACCGAAAAGGAAACGACTTTTCCACCGAGGAGACCCTCGATTCGTATTTTCCCGATCTTTCCGCAAAACCCTCTGCAGTCACTTTTACACCGACCTGAAAACCACTAACTGGCCGAATCGCGAATAAATCAATTCGTTCGGTCATTAAAGCGTCATTCATTGCGTGGTCGGTTGTAAATAATCGATTTGAGGTTCCTTTTGACATCTCGATATTCCGCAAAAATACAAAATTATTCCCAGGCTCGATAGTCTATCATAAGGAGGTATACCAATATTTTTATCAATTATTTTATAGTTAAGTGGAATGTTCCGGTAATTTGAAGAACTTTCGACTCTTTCCGGCCCTCTGACGAGAACGCACCCCGGGGACGGTTTTCGATGCAGTTCGCGTCTAGGCGCAAAAAGGGGTCGCGATCCTCGCCGCAGGGCCGGAAAGGGTTAATGCAATTCCGGATTGAATCCGCAGCCGAACCGCGAGAACTCACGACGGAGGGCCGGAACTTCCTAGGGCCAAGACCGTCGCGATCGTCTGCCGGGTTATTGGGGATAAAGATGATCCCCCCGATAGGGTGCCACTAAGATACCGCAGTTGCCCGGCCAGTAACGTATCTTGATTGGGATCTCAGACCCAGCCAAGACCCCTTTACACCCCCGCGGTCCCGTAAATACACCATCGGCTGGCCGAAGACTCCATTGGCCCTATCTCGACGACCGGGACCCGAGACGCGATTCCGAATTCGAGCAACCCTCCCCTCGTGGTCTGGGAGACGCGTTCCTTCTTCTCTAAAGTCACCGAGAGACTAGGTAAGCAGGGCCGATAAGAGATACGCGGACAGCTGTGGCCACCGGTGAAAGATAAAAGCACGTGGGCCCTCTTCCGATGACCCTCCATCAGGTGCAACCAACAGGGAAGGTAAGCCAAGGTGCGCATCAACGCTCGGCTGCATTTCTTCAACGACCGTCTTGCACCCTGCAAGGCGTCATGCGATATGCCCAACCATATCTCCCTAGGCTCTGGACATTCCCAACCGTCCATTCTGCCAAATTCGAGGCGTAATATTTTTTGGACGATCGCAAAAATCGAATTTCGGATGATGATCCGTCCGTCAAGTTCCCAAAGCCATCTCAAAGTCGCGACCAGACCTCGAGGTGGCGACGAGACGTAACGGCGCGACTATACGGAAAGGAAAACGAGGCATCGAGTGGCCGACAAAACGGTCGTTAATGATCCTCGAAAATTCCCGGAGCTCCGAGAGGAATGCCTCCGGGAAGTAGGAAATTGGTTCCGGCCCCACGTGCCGGAACGGCCGCGTGCGCCATGTGGCGCGACGAGGGCCACGGTTCATCGTTTCCCCTTTTTCCTATCCTTTTTTCCCGTTTCGAGAGCCTCCACTTCACGTCGCGAGGCCTCCCTTAAAAAGAGGCACCGGACAGGTACTAATCACCCCTTGGTCCGGGGCTCCGAATTCGAGCCGGCCGGGGGTAGGTTAGCACCGGCGATTAGCGGCCGTCTGAATCGATCGGCACTGGGAAGATCGAGCCAAACCCGACGACGTCCTTTTTTCCCCTGCCTATCTCGAAAAATCCCACGTAGATAGTTTCATACGAAGAAGAAAAAAAAATGGGAGGGTGGTTTTTCTTTAAATTTGTGAAAAAGGAGCGATCCTCGGGGTGACGGGTTCGCGGGTACAATTAGCAGGCTCCTGGTATTGGAGGCTTTAGTCGACTCTTAAACGAAGGGTGCCTCGAAAGGCTCCACCAGGGTGTGAAGGGGTGTTACTTTGTCCACGAGGGATAAGACAGGAGGGTCTCTTCGCGGTTTTTTATCGCCGCACGCGTCGCGGTGAACCTACTTTTCCACGGCGGTCGCCGGTAAACGAAGGGCTGCCGGGGCGCGGAGGGAAAGGGGCGGCAGAAGGGGTTGGAAATGCTAAGTAATTGTGTGTGGAAGTAATGACGTAATGGTCGGCGAGTTAATTAAAGGGCGCGCCGAGCTAGCTAAGATACACACGCGTGGATCTACTTAGTTTTGCTCGCGGAGTGTGACACGAGCATTAAACGCGCCCGCCTTGTGAGCTCGCGGATTAACGCTTCTAACCGACTCGTTGTCCAAGGGGAGGATCCTCGGGGGAGGGAAAGAAAACCCATCGAAAAACGCGCATACATACCCCCCGTGGATTTAAAACCGACGCAAGGTAAAGGGGAGCAACGATGACCGTCCGGCGAAAAATCCATAAGTTCCCTTCCGGGCAGAGATCTTGAACGCGGTCTCCGTCAACGGAGTTCCGAGGTAGGAAATATCCCTCGATGTTCGTTAATCCGTATCTCGGATCTCTGGTCGGTGGCCGTTAAGAGACGTTAGACCTCCTGCGAGATATACGGAAACGAAACGGTCGGATGGTGCACATAACGAGGGACCTTGCAAGTTCGTTAAGAAAACGCAGCCAGGCGTCAAAGAAGTCGGCCGTCCCCAGGAAGGGAAATTCGTCGTTGGAGTCTAACCGGTGCACCTGTAGGGGGCCCACCTGGACGGAACTTGGTTCCTCCAGGGTGTCCATCCGCCGTGACGAAGACGTTGGGGTCTTTAAAGGGCCGGATGCGACCAAGGGCCAAGCAACGAGACATTCCCTTTAACCTCCGGCCGAATTAACGTCTCTTAACGGACTCCTTCTGGAGGTCCTCTATATCCTGCCGCTCATGTCGATCAGGATAGAGTAGTTCCTTTTCGTTTCACCGATAAACTTAGAGGAGAGCGGAGGTTCGAGAATCGGCAGTCGGTGTCGGAGGTGGAAATTGGGCGGTTGGGGGAAAATTGACCACGAGAGAAACCAATGGGTGGCGGGGTCGGGAGAGGCGAAGACAGAGCGAAAGGAGCGTAGGGACGCGGAAGGACCGCAGGACGGGACTCGGACGCCATTACTGGCAGTCGTTGTGCCCCGGAAATCATTAAACTAAAATCCAACTACGACCTAATACGGCAAACCATGTGTGCCGGGCGCTGAAAGCTTCCGTGCCGCTCGCAATTCCCTTCGATTTAGTTCTCCGACTGGAAGGAATCGCCGAGGAGGCCATTCCGAAATTACGACGCGAGCGCAATTTCCCCGTCAGACGACACCGGGGAGGAAGTAACGGAATAAAAGACGCAAATCGCGAGATAGCCGAAATGAAAACCATGGGAAATCTCATAACACTCGAGAAACCTCGAAACGCAACATCCGGTCCAGCGAGAGACTCGCCCCGTCTCAATCACTGATAACAAATTCATCTCCTTATCGCATAATAAACGCTTGACCCAAATTTCCGGCATCCCCAGGGATTCCGACGCGAGTTAATCCGCCGTTTCTGGGACTCGACATGGAAAGAAAGAAAGAAAGAAAAAAAAGGGAGAGAAAAAGGAGGAAGGATCCGTTTGAAGGTAGCCGGGAAATAAGAAAAAATAAGGGCGCGTCCACGCGGTGAAGGGTGGAGGGCGACGGAGGATGCACGGCCAAACGAATTTAAATAACAATTCCGCGGTGGAAAATGAGCCATCAAAAACAATGCGACAGTTAAAAGGTTTAATTCGACCAGTCAAAGGTGGAGTGGAAACGGCGCGCGTTTGTCCGCCGTCCGAGGCCGCGCGAGGAGGAGCGCGAGGAGGACCGCGCTATCGGGGCGCACGGAGGCGAGAAAGAGAGGCAGATACGCGTTACCGGCGCGAATGGGACAAGTGACGGAGAGGAAGGAGGAAAGAACCGTCGCCTGATCCCGGGGGAGAGAGAAGGACGCAAGATACGGCCTGGTTAGTTCGGTGCCTCCCTACCGACGTCGGGGTGGGCTTGCGAGTGTGTAGGCAGCCACGCGTGGGACCCACGCCGGAGAATTATTACAGCCTGGACCAAAGACCGCACACGCGGATCGTACCAACGTAATCGCGCACCTCGGCACGAAAGTTACGAGTACGGAGTAGGATTGCTAATACCCCGGCCTGTCACCGGCACTCCCCGATCCGACAACCTAGTTTGGACTTTTCCGACAACTTGTCCGGCCATTCCGCGACGACCGCGTTCTCCAGGAGCGTCACCCGGGACGGAGCTTGACGGATCTCTCCCTTTGCCAGGACGTTCCGCCACGGAACCTCCTCCGGGTCGTGAGGCCGATGGCGTATCCGATACACCCCCTTGGACCGTACTTATTGTCAGACCCCATCGATCCTCCGGATGAACCAGACGTAACGTTCGCGGCGGGACCCACGGGGTGGGTAGTCTAATTAACCTTCTCCATTATCGCGGAAATCGACGGACGCCTCGGGAGCTCCTATCGATCGGTCACTTCCACCAGAACTTGGCCATTTTCTATTTCTACCTCGGCTGGTGTCTAGTCGTTTACGGTCTCGACAGGAATTCCTTCGGTTTCACTTAGCGCACTGTAAAACATATAATTATGAAATATACGCCAATCCCTCCAAGGGATACAATATGCAACTATAGAAAGAGAGAGTGCAATTAGAATAAAAGACTGGCGCCTACTTTACAACAGTAGTGGAAACGTATGCCCAGTTTCTCCTCGTGCGAACGCAATTAGGATCTTCAGGGTGCGATTTCGAGGACGAATCGAGGGAAGGTCGAGAGAGGCCGAAAAGAGGGCGAAAAGAGGTCCTTTCCGGGGGTTGCATCGCGCGATCATGTAAGCGGAAGGTCGGGGGTGCATCGGAATTGGGTTACACGCGTCGCCGGGCAGGGCGCGTGTTCGTAGACCACATACGTCCTGGCTGATGGGGGTAGGAAGGCAAGGTAGAAAGGACTGGCTCTGGGGAGTCGATGCCATCGACCGGGTCGATCTATGGAAGCTGGACGCTCGCAAATCAACCGCCCGCCCACCTCTGCACTCGCCTACCCCTTTGGCCCGCGATCGAGGGGTGCTCGGGGGCGTCGGGAATGGCGTGCACCCCTTACGCCCGCTCTAGCGACCGGCTAGACTCGTCCGGGTCCATCCTTCCACCCCTTTCGGGAGGTACCCCCGAACCAACCCCCAAAAATCGTCCACCCACCTAGGGATCTCAGATCGACATCTCGAAGTCAACTCGCGATACTTCCACCGAAATGCCTCCTTCAAAACGTTCCATCCCCCTCGCACATCCCAATCCAGAAAAGTACCCCCAGACACTCATTTTCTTTTTCCCCTCTTTATTTTCCATTTCGGCGATTCTCGCGCAAAGTGGTCAATCGGCGAGACACGTCGGATGGCTCGATTAGTGGCGGACTTTTTCCCGTGTAAATTACACCTTTACCCGCGAGCTGTCCCTAATGAGCGATTAGGATCGTTTACACGGAAAGATCAAAGATCGATCGGCCGCGCGTTAAGCGGAGAGCGGCGAAAGCCGCGTCGAAAAAAAAATAACCCGCAACGCTTGGCGGAAAGAGCGAGAGGGAGCGAGAGGGAGCGAAAGGGAGGAGCGAGACGGGAAGAGGGGGAGCAAAAAAAGCGGAAAAATGGAGCGACGCCCGTGGAAGGGGGAACGAAATCGACAGGGCGTCCACCTATCGGCCGGTGGCACGTGGGTGAGATCCCCCCTCGGTGTGGGTGCCCCGTGTGCGTGGGTTCCGCCGAGGACCGGCCGCGCATGTGTCCCGCCGCGCCGCGTGTGTTCCCGTGTTCGCCAACATAACTAAACAAGCAACAAGTGACCTTAAAATCTGCGAATAAAAATACCGGCCACTGATCGACTATCGCCCCGCAGCCGGCCGTCCATTCCGCGCGGCCAAGGGGCGCGCCTTTGTGCGGAGACGCCGCCGGTCGATCGATTTAATCGATTCGACCCGTTCCCGTACCTCTTCCGGGTTTTTCGGCAGGAGTCGCGGAGGGTGCACCGACCACGTGGAACGGAGCTCGTTAGCGATAATTAGTGACCGCGGCTCGATAATTGCCGATCGACTCGCCTAGCCGAGAGTCGTCGACCGATGTCGACAGTTAGGGGCGGGATATTTCGGGGTTCTTAATTTTTTTTTTCTTAACAAAAGGGTCCCCGGGATCCCTTTCCCTTCGCCTGGACGACCCCGTGGGAGCCGGGTCCCGTCGGTTCGGGAGTCTTCTCGCGGGGCGGGGTATTAAAAAGCAACAAGTGACCTTAAAAAGTGCGGGATAAAAATACCGACGGCTGATCGAGAGTTTCGCGCGCCGCTGCGGAGGGTGGGAAGGGGTGATTGGGTAAGCGGGCTTCAGGGTTGGCTCGCAAGGGGTGAGATCGGCCACGCGGGGTGGCTCGTGACGGGGGTGGGCTCGCTCGCCTACGACGGGCCATCGCCTATCGACCGTCGTTTATCGACGTCGATCGGTAACTCTAGACGAGATTCTCGAGGCCGCAGAAAAAAAGGCGGCGAAGAGAGACTAGGAAAATAAAACTGGCAAATTATGCAAATACCTGGAAATAATTCTCGTATGACCGAAAACGACGGTCGGGGACGTCGAGGGTGGTTCCGAAATCCGGAAACGCTCGTTTGGATCGAAATTGATATTGCAAACCATAAATATTCGACGTTTCCCGAGGACGGGGGATTTTTCCGAAGGCTTCGGAGGACTCGGGGAAGGGGGAAAAAATTTGATTAAAGAGTTCCTTCGAAAGGAATCGACAAAAGGGGTGGTTTTCTATGCGGCAAAAGGAAGGCTCCGGGCCGGAGTGGCCGCTCCTCGGGGTTAGTTCCGATATCGGCCGCCTAAGCAAGAGCTCGCCACTGTCCAGCAACCCTTTCACCCACACGAGCGTTCCTCGACCCCTTAGCCCACACGGACGCACTCCCACGAGCAAGGGGTAATTTTTCTTTAGGGCACCCACACACCGGTCTGGCCGCACGCCCACAAGCTCGCGGGGTCGTCCGTCCCGCTCGGCGTCGCACACCACGACGCGTAGCGCCGTCCTCTACCACCCCATTAAAGGGGTAGCGACGCTCTCCGTCGGACTCGCGCATGATCAGAGCGTCCAGGCGTCCCTCTCCGTCCCACGCACGCGTCTCCCCTATTCCGGCGGCCGGAAGAAACCGAAAGCTCCGTTTAAGAGTCTCCCTCGTCTATTTTCTTTCGCAAACTTTCTCGGCGCTCTCCCGTTCGGATGAAAGGGCCGAAAAAACTCGCTCCAAACTCGCTCCCAGAGGATGGGAAGGGGTCCCGAGGGGTCGACGATCTTCCAGGAGGATCCTCCCCCACCCCTGAATTTTTTCCTCCTGAAAAATCATTCATCGATCGACTTTTTTATCGAGTCAGCAGTCGGATAGAAAAAAGACGCGAGTCGAAGCCGGGGTAAAACCGAGCCTCGAGCGAGGCGTTCCCACGGGCTGGAGTTCTCCCGTGTCCGGGGCCGCCTAGATCGCGCAGGTCCGTCTTCCGGCGCGTCTTCGCCGCAAGCTCCCGCGGGAGCTCACACCTACGTCACCCACGTCGCCCCCACCGGGTCTCCGGATCTGCCGTCTCGTTCTGGGCCCACACGCACGCGGTCGGCGAGCCTCGGGACGCGCGAAAGTAAGCTCACCTCCCTCCGTCGAGATCTCCCGAATCCCCCGTCTCGCGAGCGCGAGCTTTCGACGGAGCCTCCCCTCCCCGAGGTCGGTCCGTCCGTCTCGCTCCCTCAACCGCGGCGTCCCCGACTACCCTCTCTCTCTCCGGTGCGACGACGCCGCCGCGACTCGCGAAGCCCGAGGAGCGCGCCCACCGAGGGCCTCCTCCGTCTCCCTCGCTCCCATCCGCGGCGCCTGGTGGCGTCTCTCTCCCCCTCGTAGCGTCACGTTCCCGCTCGCTCCATCTCGTTTCCCCTCGCTCCGTCTCGTCCCCCCTCCTCCCGCGGAAGCTCCCCTCTCGCGGCGCGCTTTCTTCGTCTCCCGCGATCTCCTCCCACCCTCCTCGTCGTCTCTCTCTCTCCGACCCGTCGACCATCGGTCGCTCCCTCTCCGTCGGTCCCCCCCTCTCGGCCGCCCGCTCCGTCGCAAGCTTCCCCCACCCTCGGCCGCCGGCACCCGCGACTTGCGAGCTTGCGACGCCGGCCTCCAGGGGCGCCACTGGACGGGCCAGAGGCCACCGGCTGGCGGCTGGCGCGTGGCCCGCTACAGCATCCGCGATCTTCTCCGCCTACGCGACTGGCCGAGCAGTGCGTCCGCAAGCCCGCAAGTTCGCGACACGAGCCACACGAGGGAAAGCACGGGCCCGCCCGGTCCAGGGAGCTTCGAGCGCTCCCACGGCCGGCTCCTCGACCAGGGACACCGGGATACTACGTGTCCGCGACCGGTTTTCCGAGTTCCCCGGATTTAGGAGACACGGGAACAGGTGAGCAAACATTTTCAAAGGTGACAAGGACCGACCGGACGCCCACCCCCTACTTATTTTCTCGCTCTCTCTCCTTCTACCTTCTCGGTTTCATTTCGGAGGATTTTCTTAACCCCCCCCGATTTTTTTTCCCTCTCTTCGTCGTCGATCATGTTCCGCGCGATGGTCTCCGTCCCCTGTAATTTCCCAGATCAGGGGGGCGCACCATGAAAGTGGAGCTTCGAGGACGAGCTTTCCCGCGACCTGGTGACCGTGGTGCTGGTGATGATGGTGAACTCAATTTAAGATACATAAACGACGATAACCTCCCTCCGTCTTGGTGATGTAAACCGTCGAATTAATTCAAGGGCGCAATGATTTCCAGCCGACGTTTAAAACGCGCGGATGAGGGGTATCGTCGCGATCCGGAGGAACTTCGGGACGGTGGGGATATGTCCAGGATGTGGGTTCCTTGGCGAAATGAGGCTCGGTGGATCGGACGACCAGCCGGCGACTCGATTGCTGGAAATGTCGACACGCGGGACGCAACGACGCGGCACAGTGCGACGTCGGTCTGACGTCGGGCGCGACTAATGAGCACGTATGAGAGATAATACAGTGAAAAGGATACAGTGAAAACCGAGTTTGGGCGGAGGACAAAGTGGAAGACTCTGTACAGAGGAATCTCGATTACGGCACTTGGACTGCGCTTTGTACTCGGTCGGTGATGTAATGACGCGGCACGATTAAGGAGACCGTCGAGACGAAGGGAAACGCGTCCGCTGCTGACGTCAAACGGTAATTCGTAATTGGAGTACGTGTGATTCATCGAGGAAGGAGGAGTGTAGATTCCTCCTGGCGTTTAACGAAGCGCGAAACCGCGCTCCAAAATTCGATCCGATCGAGAACTCGAACGAGGGGATGAGTACGTAACGAACCGCTCGTTTAAGGGACGGTGAGAAAATTATACGGAATAAAATTAATTGATTTCGAGGAAAGTGAAGTAACACGAGGAGATAGAAAATGTCGAGAAAAGGTACGAGATAAATAATCGCATAAACCTTGGTGATCGACGGTATTGAGTGACGATCGGACATCTCGTGACCTCGGAAGGCTCAAAGCGAATTATCCAAAAATCGGGAAATGGGGGAAGAACAAAAATTAAACCGCGCCAAAAATCACGCGATCGGCCGATAAGCATAGCTGCCGATGATATTCGATTAATCAGTCGGTAATTGTCGACGCGCGATGACAACTAATTGACAAACGTCCGTGTGAATACTTGGCACAGTGGTAACACGGTATTTTAATTTATCGACCAGTGGCATTCCAGTGGGATTATTGTGGACATTTGCGGGACTTCATTTTTTATTTTTCATCTCTTCACAGGGTCGCGTTCTCGGACTTGACTTTAATCGGTGCTCGACGAACGATTAATTTAATAATATAAAACGTTCTCCATCTACTAAAAGCTATGACCTCCGATGATTTAATATAATTAATTCGCCGAATAATTAATTCAGAAGAAGGAATCGCGCAGTCGTTGCGTACAATGCGCCTAAATTTAACAACGAACAGCCGGATAAATTACGATACGGATTTCTACCAGAAGCCGTGTTTTCTCTTTTGAGAAAACAGTGGAGTTGAAGAACGGGTACCGGGAAAACGTGGATAACCCCTCTGCAACTCGATTAAAAAGAATTCCTAGTTTCGCCCAATCCTTAACCTGGCCCCGAGTCGTGAAAGAAAAGCCGATCGTCCGAAGAAACTCGGAGGAAAAAAATAATCTGTGAATTTTAAAAGAACTATTCGGAAGTAGTGACGGCCGCATACTCGTCAGACGCGCGGTCCGACGGCGAGCCCGAGACGCGCGTCGACCACCATCGATATCCTAATAAACCCCAAAAACAGAAGACCCCTCTGGACCCCCCTCTAACCAAACCCGAATCCTCCCCAAAGAACCAGAATTTCAAAAAAAGAATCCCAATCCAAGTCTCAAAGAACTGACATCTCCGCGATCACTGACGTCCTCGACCGTCACTCCGAAGTACCACGATTCGAAATCACCCTTCCTGGTTCGAAACCCTTGCCACGTGTACTCCTTGGAAGCGATACAAAAAACCCAATCACATAATCAGAACGAGAAAAAAAAAAATTCTTCATGGAGTCTGCCACTCCTTCGGATCGTCGAAAGTCCCAAAGGCCTCGCTTCCATAGTCGACGTCGAGGAATCCGCGTCCCAGGGCGAACTGAGGGTCCCAGGGCCCTTCCAAATGGGTCCGGGGCCGGTTCGTCCGGTTGTCCATTCGGCAATAGAGTCGACCTTCCGGGTCACGGGGGGAAAAACGGCGGAAGAAAAAAAAGGAATTCGGTAAAACGCGTTGGTCAATCCGGCGGCCGGTCAGCCGCGTGGTCGGTCGATGGTCGGCGGGTATAAACAGCTAATAATGAAACGAATCGTGTCATAAACAATCGCGGCTACGAGTGGGGTGAACGGGCGCCGCGAGGTGGGGCGCAGAGGGTGGGGAGGGGGTGGGAAAAGTCTAAATGAGTGTCGATCGGTGGGGGTGGCGGATACCGGGGGGACGTGGGGCGCGCGGGGGAGATGGGTGCTTTGAAAAGCGCGGAAAAAGCTTGCACCGCGTGAAAACGCGCGGGGGCCTCGATCCGTTGCGGGGAGTGGCAACGACCTTCGGTGAATCCACCGCGAACTTCAACTTACAAAGCTCCGAAGAGCCGGAAGTCTCCCCTAGCGGCGCGGCCTTTTCAAGGGGAGCGACTTTCGATATCACCTCCCGCTCGACTTATTGAAACGGACAGTTCTCGAGAGGGCGACGTCTTCGGAGATGCCGGCTCCCTCCCGGTCGATCAACCCTCCGACGTCGGCGGACACCGAGAGGGTCTTTCGGATTCGATGCGACCTGATTTCGACCCTTGAATTGTCCACGAGGGGGGTTCACTCGGGGAATCGCGGATTTTAACGCTCGTTATCAGCTGGATATCGCGATAACTGGAGACTCATCCGAAACCACCGAACACTGTCGGGATTTTAGGACCGAATCCATTTTTTTGCGAAGAATATTCGACGTTTTATCGAAAAGTCCTCGGAAGGATTCGCGGCAGGATTTCCTTTCGATTTCGACGATCGATCGGGTCGTCGATCGATTTAGTTTGGTTCGATTGACTCGACTAGGCCGGTTGGGAAATTTATTGGGGTAGGTTCCAGCGGGATAACCCGCCACGGGGTAGATGTAAAGGGGTGATTGCGGGATATTTAATTTCACCGCCGAGGTGAAGTGCCTGATTCTGCAAAATCACGGAAAGAGCTTTGCGTTAAGGGGTGCCAAGCGTTTCGGTTCGGAAAACGCGTATGGTTACAGTGGCGGCCAGACGAACCGAGCTCGAAATAGTAGTCATCGTTAATTATCCGCCATTAGAGGAAACATTGGAATTAAACTTACTCGCGACCGTATCGATCAGGCGGAAAATTAACAAAGTCCCGCCCGCGACCCAAACATTTCCTTCCTTCGGCGACTAGAACTCGTCCCGTCGTTTATCACCAATAAAAAAAGAAAAGAAAACTTAAAACATTGATTCCTTCCACGAGAATTCCTGAGCCCTCGACAGGGCGTTGTAAAATTCTGAAGTGCCGTAATCGCCGAGCCAAGCAAAATCCCAAAAATAAGAAAGCGTAATCCCTCGGCACGTTTCGTCCAAAACTCCCCTTAAAGTTCCTCCAAAGATCCCATGACGATTGCAAACGGCACGGAGAGATCCGTCAGAAAGAGGTCCGTCCCGAGCGAGGAAGATCCGACGTTTAAAGAGCAGTTCGTAAATCCGCCGCAAATCGGCGACCACACATCACCCTATGAAAATAAAACCCCCTAAAAGACGGGTTTCCGATCAGGAATCGCGGTAGAGCCGGGTGCGGGGGGTGGCGCACCCCACTCCGGCAGGGGGGAATATAACACAGCAATCGGGGTGGGGATAGATAACTCGGGCGATACAGGGTAAAAAATTGAAGGTTGTCCAAAAGGACCGAAAGTCGGGTCGCCAGCTGAGTGATGTACACTCGAGCGTGTATTCCGCGGAGGCGATACGGCGATACAGGGGCGTTCGATCTCCGGGGGGTAGGGGTTGGAGGGGGGATTACCAGTGGGTTAACCGTAAAACCCGATTGTTCGTGTTTTTATCTTAAGAAGCCGCGTAAGGGGGTCGCGAGGTCGGTGGGGGTCATCGAGGAAGAGGGAGCGGGCCGCGAAGAGGGAGAGAACGGAACGAGAGGAGGGAGAAAGACGAACCGGGAGGGGGTGCTCCTCCAGGAGATGCGTAGGGGGCGGCGGTGGGGATAAGACTACCCTCGGAGGCAGAGTGCGTTTGCGCCGCCGCCGTGGAGGTGGCATCGTGCTAAGGGTTGCTTCCCCGGTGAGGAGGGAGGTGGGAGGTGGGAGGCAGCGGCGGCGGTGGGTGGCGGAGGTGGCGCGAAAGGGGTGGCGGGAAAAGGGTGGCGGGAAAGGGGTGGCCGCCCGAGCCAGGGTTAGGGTGGTCTTTAGGTCCGTCAGTAGCAAAGCGGCGGCCTCGTCATACGGAGCTGCTGGCTGACCGGCTAGGCCGTGCGATCACTTAAGACGCGAGCGGAGCCCCCGCAGGAGAGAGCCGCCGCGTGCCGCCACTCGCACGCGTGTGCGCGCGCACACGCACCCTCGCACGCACGGCCTCGGCTCTGGGCGGACGCGCGCCGGTCCCGTCCCGGCGAGGCCGGCCTCCGCGACTCGCGACTCGCGACCGCGACTCGCGACCGCTCGCCTACACGAGCCTCGCCGGTCGCACGGTCGGACCGGCGGAGGCGACCGACGCGCGCACCTGTCAACCCCTAAGTGTCACGTGCTCGATCGCTGTCAAGGATAACGCACCTTGCGGCCGCCACCCGGACAAGGTAACCCGCGGGGACCTCCTCGCCGAGGAGGAACGCTACCGGCCCGAGTCCTCCCGATCCGGCTCCCGGCCCGAAGTGTGACGCG